ATTAAAGAGGCCGCCGCCGTAAACATTTACCACGGCTCGCGTGCGTATTCCTCCATGGCTGGCTGGCTGAGGCGAGTGAGATCGTCCGGGTCGGAACTGCGACCGCCAAAAAAACGTTCCGGGCCTGAGTCTCTCTCCCCCCAACCACCGGGCCCCTCCCCCAACCACCGGGCCCCTCCCCCAACCCACCAACCCCTCCCCCAACCACCCAGCCCCCCCCCCCCCCAGACCTCCCACCCCCTCCCCCAACCCCTCAACTCCTCCCCCAACCACCCAGCCCCCCCCCCCAGACCCCCAACCCCCTCCCCCAATCCTTACCCCTCCCCCAACCGCCCAACACCTCCCCCACCCCATCAACCCCCCCCCCGTCCCCCTCCACTAATTTGCTAAATTGGCTTATATTTTTGGTTCTTTCGGTGTGTTTCAGTCGACACGTCGTGAGAATTTTATTATTTAATATTTTTTTATTATTTTATTATTTCCCTTCTACGTGACTTTACTGAAAGAACCAAGAAGATGAATCCCTACAGTCACGAATTGCTATTGGCTTGTTACTTGCACGGGCTTCGTTGAAATAAGTCTTCCGGGTTGCCAACAATCATTTCTTTTCTTTCCGGCGAGGTTCGACGAAACGTTCCGGGGGTGAAGGCGAAACACGTTGCGTTGCGTGGATCGTTCGGCACGATTCTGTGAATCGGTTTTTTAAAATAATCGAGCGATCCAGGCATCGTAATCGCGCCGCGTGTAAGATTCCATTATTCGGCGTTCGTGCAAAATTGCTGCTCTGTGCGAGCAAAATCCACTTTCACGTTATCGTTGAGCGGAATGGAATTAAATAGTCAGAACAGGCGACACATTACAAACGGAACAAAGTGTATCGATCCATAATTCGATTACAATGCTGATTCGACTCTTGGCCGTTGCCCAACACGTATGCTGGACTTGTGTGAAAAAGAGATTCATATCTCATCGGATGTTCCCCAATATGAATAAATAATACATATTGTGATTATCCCTCGCCTTGTGCTGATGCAGTGATGGAAATGTCACATTCGTATGGCAAGGCACAAGTAGGACCCTGGGCTACTGGTGGTACTGTGAGGCCCCCAGTAATATTTTCAAAAGGAAATCAAAGTTAAAGAAAAAATATAATGCATTTTTACAAGGCTAACAACAAATAAAATCCAGCATTCACAAATGAAATCACTTTTTACTTAATCTCTGCAGGCCCTCCAGCTGGCGGATGCCCCTGGGCTTGCAGACCCTACAGCCCGTGCTTGAATCCGGCCCTGGGTAACAAGTTAGATTACGAAATGTCAATTTGCTCAAGTTGAAATGTTACCGAAAGACCCAGAGAATATTGAAATGTCGCAGTTTCAACACGTGGCCTCGCGATGGGCGGGGTCTGGCAGAGCAATGGGCGGGGTTAGTGATTAAGTGGGCGGGGCTAGCGATGTATTGGGCGGGGCTATTGGTTCAGTGGGCGGGGCTAGCGATGTATTGGGCGGGGCTAGCGATGTATTGGGCGGGGCTAGCGATGTATTGGGCGGGGCTATTGGTTCAGTGGGCGGGGCTAGCGATGTAGTGGGCGGGGCTAGCGATGTATTGGGCGGGGCTATTGGTTCAGTGGGCGGGGCTAGCGATGTATTGGGTCAGTGGGCGGGGCTATTGGTTCAGTGGGCGGGGCTAGCGATGTAGTGGGCGGGGCTATTGGTCCAGTGGGCGGGGCTAGCGATGTATTGGGTCAGTGGGCGGGGCTAGCGATGTATTGGGCGGGGCTATTGGTTCAGTGGGCGGGGCTAGCGATGTAGTGGGCGGAGCTATTGGTTCAGTGGGCGGGGCTAGCGATGTAGTGGGCGGGGCTATTGGTTGAGTGGGCGTGGCGAGTGGTTTATGGGGGCGGGGCATGCAAAGCAGGTGGGTGGAGGGAGGCGGCCTGCCAGCCCAACGTGTGTCCCGCTGAGCCTCCCAGAAATGTAATAGGGTTAGGGGCAGTCCATAAATGACGTCACGCACCTAGGGGGGGGGGGGTTCAGACATTTGTGACGATGTGTGACGATGGGGGGGGGACGTTACATCAAAATGCGCAACTTTAAATAAATATAGACAACACGTTCTACTTAATTAAATAGACTTTTTAATAAATGTTTTCTCCTTCAACATCAGAGTGCAGCACCACATAAAATACGCACTACAATGACAATCGTTTAAAGCGATTTGAAGCATGTTTTATTTTGGGGGGGGGGGGCAGAGCTTTGTGACGTCATATTTGAGGGGGGGGGGTCTGACTTTTTGTGACGCCGTGTGATGAAGTGGGGGGTGGGTAGAAATCGTCCTAAATCGCGTGACGTCATTTATGGACGGCCCCTTCGGGTAACCCTAAGGGACAAGTCTCTTATAGGACAGCCACTGCTGTAAGGTCATGGAAATGAGCGTAGAAATGTAACCTGGTTCAATTGAAGGTCCATCATCGTCATCAACCATTATCTATGCACTGCTGGATGAACGGCTCCCCGCATCATCCTTCACGATCCTACAAGGCCACACAATCCATCTGCAAATAAGCCGACGTAATTATTCAGACTCCACAGTGGTTATCCTCTCGGTCGCATTCGCTTCTTCACGGCAGGTGCTATGATCATTGTCGGAGCGCGTTCGCAGCTGAGGTTCACGGTTCCAATTTCAGCGGTCGCCCTGGTTAATACTGTGGATGCATTGACCACAATATACGATGCGCCGTCTGCTTCAGAGTGGACATTCAAGGTCCTGTGTCTTTCAAATAGAGTAGGTCATTGTTTGCCTGCGTCATCGTGCAAATCTGTCATTCGAAAATTATTATTTGGTTCTTTCGGTTAAGTCACGTCTAAAGATAAAATAATAAATTAAATTAAATAATAGCATACGACGTTTCGATTGCAACACAAGCAATCATCATCAGGTATAATGAAATAGCGACATAAAATCTAACCAGAAAACTATAGACAGACATATAAGCAGACAGATATCACCAAGATACATAGAGAGAGCAACACAGGTAACAGAGAGGGGTGATCATCTCTGTGGGGTGGCCTTAAATAGGCAGAGGGGGGAGGAGGCAGAGAGAGGGAGGGGTTTAGAGAAAACATTTGCATATCAATGAGTGGACAACAAAACAAGGTGCTGCAAGTGCGATGACACGGCAAGCAAGCCTGAAAATCAGGAGGACAAATTTAAGGCCACCCCACAGAGATGATCACCCCTCTCTGTTACCTGTGTTGCTCTATGTATCTTGGTGATATCTGTCTGCTAATATGTCTGTCTATAGTTTTCTGGTTAGATTTTATGTCGCTATTTCATTATACCTGATGATGATTGCTTGTGTTGCAATCAAAACGTCGTATGCTATTATTTAATTTAATTTATTATTTTATCTTTAGACGTGACTTAACCGAAAGAACCAAATAATAATTCCTGCAGTCACGAAAGTTCTAAAATTAAGATTTAATTCGAAAATTACCTGCAAATTAATCAATTGGGATTATACACAGCAAGCATCGTTCCCCCTATTGGCAGACCACCGAATTTGGGCAATTGTTTGATAGCGCCGATTCTGGCTGCCTACAGGCCCCGCTGTGGTTTCCCATGCCTAGATTTGAAATCTGCACGCATTACAAATTTGTACAGCGTTTTGGGATGCAATTTGCATGAACAACGCTCTATTCAATGACACATTGGATTATATTGGGTGCCATTCCATCACTGGTCACGATCTCTTACAGCGATGTATCTTGCCAACATACTTTGGTTCATGATTTTATATTTCCTGTAGTTTCATTGCAAGACGGTGGTGAGAAAAGGTAACGGATTGAATGCTTCATCCAGCAATGGATAAATTATTACTCGTGATAACCGGCAAAATGCACTCATTGAAATCTTTTTTCTGGCACATTAATATACAGTCCTGCTTTTCATGATCAAATTCAGTGTTCCAAATGCACTCGATCCTTCTCTACGTTTGTCTCTTTCATCATTTTATCCAGCCGCTGATGGCGCACACCTGTAATCCGGCAATAAGTAAAGGCAAGGGGGTTGGTGGATTGCAAACATCTTGCGTAAACCTTGTCGCAGGCGTCGAGGTGCCATATACCCTGGTTTGCCAGGAGACGGCAGTACAGCGAAGTATATGGACTAATATCGTACGGCCCATCTTTTATGGGATAGTGTTGCCCTCTTGCATCTATCTATATGTGCGTTTCTCTTGTTTCTCTCCCCCCCTCCCATACGTATGAACGCTGATCAATTGCTTTAAAATATCTGAATACTTATGCACCTCCATGTTTGCGGATTATGCAGTGTGACAATATGTAGATTATAAAAAGGGTCCCATAGACACGATATACAATTTGCACGGAAGCTGTGTAAAAATGATCATTATTATTGATCCTTCTTCTCTCGTATGGCCGACGTAAATGCAGAGCAACAACTACATCAGCCATACGAAAGAAGAAATATTGATCCTGACCAGCTTCCAATAATTGCCCAAGGTAACAAAACAATGCTGCTGTTTTGCAGGCATATCCCTCTGAAAAAAATCTTTAATCAACTTAAAATGTAGGGTTTTGCAGCCATTAAAATGATCCATACTTGTTTTTGAGTGGGGCCACACATTTGTTGTGACTTTTTTAAATTCTATGTTGTTTATCAATCGATTTTACAGTGAATAATTGAAGAATGTCTCGAAAAAAATAGCTTTTGGACTCGAGATAAATAAGCAACAAAAAAAGTTGTACACACGTTGTCCCAGTTAAAATAAATGTACTCGAATGGACTTGAAGGAGAGCCAAGTGAGATTGAAGATTATTGCTGCATTTTATGTTGCATGTGGCCATATTTGGAACACCCTTCTGCTAATGTACATTCAGCCATATACTACTTTCCTGCAGGGAGTCACAAACATAACTCTCCTTAATACCTTTAAACTATAATTGGCATCTCAGAGTATCATGAAACGACGTTTACAAGTCACAAGAGTCACTTTATTGTGCTTCTGTAAACCATAGTTTAGAGTACAGTAAAGCATTGCATACCACAAACATATTTCACAAGTACACAATAACTTTAATATCGATAGAAATGTCAAAAATAGCGGGTCAGTTCATACACGACTCCATGCGCAGTGAATTCCATATCTAATTTTTAAAAAGTGTGAATGAACCTGTGGAAATAAAACTACTGCACAGCTGTGCGCCAATTCATTGTCGGCAAGCTTGCAAGGCCACTAATTCCATTCTTCATCATCGTCATCGTCGTCGTCATCTTCATCATCATCTTCATCTACAAACGCACAGTCAACCAACAATATAACCAGACATAGATATTTAATTAGGGTACCACAAAAGTGTCATTGATAACATTGGACATTGTTTTGAAGTCAATTTATTATTTTTCCCATTACAAATCCATGATGTTTTCTCACCACTAAATTCGAAAATCAGTTGGTCAAATGTTGTGAGCATATCAACATAATTACTGTGGATTGGACATGATGTCAGTGTTGCACATTTATTAAAACTCCCTTGAAAATAATGGGGCCAGTTTAGATTCGAGTGTTACTCATAAATATGGATATAAATAAAAACCTTAATCTGTATGTCTCAAAAACCTCTAGGGTACTTCTCAACAAGGTAGAAAGCTGATATATGGTACATAAGTAGTTTTTAGGACACAAACAACAGGAAAAATCAGAACATCGGATATTTTTCATTTTAAGTCTCCCAAATCTCGATTTGAAGTGCCATGTCATTCAGAAACTGTTCAAAATACAAGATTGCGGGGTTTTGTCGTTTGATAGCGCGTTAAACGGCAAATAAAATTAAAGCGAGAAACATTTGTTATATCCGTTATTGTTTTTCAGACATTTCAGATTAAAGCGGTTTTAAATAAAAACAATACGCATTGTATAGTGTTCAAATTTGAATAATTCGAAAACGGTAAAAGATAGGAGCTTCTTCTCAAGCCTCCATGTTAAATTAATCTTATAGAGTATGATGTTCGTAAATTGTTGCTCTTTCTAAATAAAAAATGAACGGAATATTTATTTTGAGCGGTTTCGATGGGTACGTCTTTAAATATAAGAAGTTGGATAAAATCGCCAACAATGTGTTTTTTTGCAGAAAAATACACATTTTTGGAGTAGTTAGTGTCCGATCATAGATCAAAATGGTAAAAAAACCGAGGTTAATTATTATATTTATTGAATACTTTTGGCTGGCGAACACAGGCTTTTTGAACTCGTAATATATAAATGCATACTCTTTGAAAAATGTTGATGACAATTTGAAAACGTTTGGTCTCAACAACTTAAAAGCATGATAGCAAATATTACATCTTTCTAAACTCTCACAACCGACACAGCTTGGAGTGGAGGGTTTCATCCAGCAGTGGATTGACAAAGCTCACTATTTATTTTTAAAAATACGTTTTAAAGAGCGATGAAAGCGAGATGAGCCTGTCAGCTAACGGCCTTGCATAACTGTAGCTTATAGTACCACCTATCGGCGGTGATGCAGCATTACTTTAGAGAAGAATAGCTCAGAGACCATTGGAATCGTGCTTGCCGCTTGGAACATTGTATCTTACCTGAAGAGTAAAGAGACTTGCCCCTTTTCTTCACCGCATTCATCAAGGCATCAACAAGACCCAACGGAGCAGAAGAGCCCACAGGGGGACCTTGTGAGTCGGACACCTGAAACGTATTGATGTTTAAATTCGTAAGTGTGTATAAGTATAAACATATTGTATATCGAAGGTGCATAGTAGGACTTCTACTATATGTGGCGATACGACAATGTATTACGACATCAGATCCAAAATATTTTATTGTCTGTTTTTCCAAAATATCTCGATGTAATGATTATCATTGCTAAAAAATCTAAGTATATTTTCAAAAATTGAATTTCGTGACAAACTATTTAAAAAATAAATACTTAATCATTAAAGCTACAAATAAATAGCTGCTATCAAATAAATTGAAATTTAGTATAATGTTTTATTGGAATAACTGATGGCCTGGTGGTTATATGGCATATTATGCAGCTGTCAGCAAATGCATGAGAAGTATTATACAATGTAAAGTTATGATAAAAAGACTTTGGCAGGCTTATGTCAAGTGAACTGCAGTTGAATAGCATTTAAGTCATCTTTATTCGTGCGATAAGTACACAAAAAGACAACAGCAAAAAAATAAGTGGAACATACAACTACAAAACGAAGGATATACGTCATATCCTGAAATTTCATATTGTATGGTATCTTGAAAAATTACATTGCGGCAATCCTGGTAGACAACATTTCAAAAGCAATGGAATAGCCAAACTTGAATAAACTCACTGGCTTGAGTGCCGTGCCCTGGCGGATCTCCTCCAGAAGGGAATTCCGCTCAGATGCTGGGTGACTGCCAGGCGTCACCTCCCTCAGCTTGACTCCAGAATGGATCTGGGATAAAAGAGCACCCCGGCCAGAGCCGTCTTGGTGGTCTGCAAGCGCCGGTGGTGGCCGTGGGCCCCCCACTTTCTGGGCAGATGGTGGTGGCGGCGGCGGCGGCGGTGGTGGTGGCGGTGGTGGTGGCGGCGGTGGTGGAGGGCCTCCAGATCGCTGGGTAGATGTTGGTGGTGGTGGTGGTGGTGCCAGCCTGCCATGGTTTTGAGACCTTTGAGGTGGTGGGGGTGGAGGGCCTCTGCCAGGTGAACGTTCTCTATGGTCTTTGGGTGCCATAGAGGGAGCGAGCTGCTTCTCAGGTGGTTTCCATGGACCAGGTACTTTCTGGGCTGGTTGCTTTGGAACTGGAAATGTAAAATGACAATACATATTAGTCTGGGTGCGTACAGGATTTTATATGCAAGCTAGATTGAAACGGAACTCAAAATGTGTAATCATGAAGTTTTTCAGAAACTGTTGGTTTTTTTGCATAATGCACAACAGTTGAGTACACGTTTCTGTGGTTTGTTTAAGATGTGGTTTTCTGGCCTGTACTGATTTTATTATTACTATAGGTTGTTCTCGTCATTAACAGATTTGACCCAGTGGAAATGTTTAATGACAGAGCCACGTGGTGTGTGACATGGTTTTTCCGTACTTTGAAACTAGTTTATTCCAAAGCTAAATTATATACAGGCCCAACAAATGACGTCAAATTATCATTCTAACACCTCCTACACCCCCCCACAAAAAAGCATTTCAGTGAACTCAGAGTTTGACATCAATATTATCTCTGGTATTACCTTCTTGTTGTTGCGTCCTTGAACTCAGGTAATGCATAGTCGTACAGCCATGAATACAACCTCACCGCTTATATTGAACAAATTATTTGGTGATGCTGCATTGGCAGTGTTGCACAAGCACAATTAATTATGCCGTGGACTTAATACATATAAAAATATATAATAGGTGACGTTTTAGGGCAATAACCCTTCATAGCACATAGATCCCTATTTGTATATTTCTAAGGTAGTGTTATTGACAAATGTATTCTCCTTTATTCATGACTCGTCGCTATACCGTTGTGGCATTTCAATAACGGCGGCTGTTTGAAATTATTTAATGCCCTTGGTTCCACCGCCTGTGTCACCCCAAACCAGTTTCACGTAACCTATCCGAAGCGTCCAACCGAGCGAACCTTTTAGAACTTAAAAATGGTAAACTCACCTGATGTCAACTCAATTTAGATATAATGCACAATTACTTTTCACGAAGCAATCTTGTGTAAACACAATCTTGCACTATGACACTTTACTAAGCAGCTCATAATGATGATGAATCGTCTGTCAAAGAACATACTTCATTGATTTTAAGCCCTAATGATGAACTATACAACACAATATCATTATTAGAGATTATTACACCTTTGCCAACTACAGTATCCCAAACTTTTAAAAATGTACAACACTTTGCAAAGTGCATTTCCATTTTTACGCACATTTAACATTGTATGGACATGTTAATCACCACCTTAATGTACAGAATCATTTCAAAGAAGTGCATTTATAGTACTATAGCTAGACATTGTTATTGAAGCGTTGTAGATATTATGATAGCTCAATGTGATACTTTTATCGAGTTAAGCAGATTACCTTGTTGTATTTCCTGTTTTATGCCCTCCATTCCTCCATAGTCTTTAATAATTTTTGATATTTTTCTTGTGAGTCGCTTGTCCTGAAGATGTGAATCATCTATGCCAGCCATGGAAAACAGCTGTTTAAGGTTTGGGTCCACATTCTCAGCCTAATTGAGAAACAGGGAAGCACAAATAACATCACAATTAAATTGCTACAATTGTACTGTCGATTATGAATGTAAGCATTATTGGGAGTAGTACTGTTATTCAGGACTTACTGTGAAGCCACAATTAGGATCCCAACCAACGTGTCCAATGTGCCTGTTAATCACAGAATATCCACACACCAAACAGATACACTGTTACGAAGCGAGCAGAGGATTCTTACACAAATAATATTGATGTATAAATTACCCAATATAAAATAAGAGCATATCAACATGTCACAGAATGCACGAATGAAGAGGTCAGTAGTTTACAAATGATTTAAAGAATATCAAATTCCTTTTGCATGCTTACTAACACCTTTATAAGGCATCATGTGAATGTTATGACTTACACAATTATCATCCATTGTTGGATGGACTCCCCATGCTCTGCTACTTTGAAACGTTAGTATAGTTAGAGTGTATACCTTTTATATAAGTTAAGATTCCTACTTGTTCAATGTATGCACCGTCCCGCCATAGTGAATTCCTTGTTTGTGCAAACTTACATGGCGATTAAAACCGTTTCTGATTCTGATTCTGATGACATGTGACATATCAAATTAAGTACTTTTCATGCTCACCTGTCCAAATGCCACACCAGGTTAAAGCAAGTTACAAAGGATTTAAACATAACCATATGGCTATGGAGACACTATTCTGTCCATGACACTGCAAAACCTGAAGCAGGCAACAATGAAGGTGATTCTTCAAGTTATTTAATGTATTGCTGTATTACCAATGAAAGCACTCACTTGAAATGGGATGGTTCTCCAATCTGATCTTTGGTGAGTGGTGTCTTGCTCTTAGTCTTCTGATTGCGAGTCTTGGCAAGAGCCGGAGCATTGGGCACCTTCATGATTGGGAGGGGAACCGGATGCACCTCGTGCATCGATGGCTGCACGGTCAACCCTGCCGCCGACTTGTCTATGGCGAGCAAGGAACGAATGACCACCAAGAAACATGGTGATTTAATAACCACACTTCAAACTCAGAGAAACATGTTGGCGATGCGACAGGGTCTGCAATTGCCACTTTGTTACATCTTGCAAGCGAAATTAGTGACAGATCTGTGTCAATGAAGCGGATTTAAAGAATAATAATTGTAGTGAATGAGTGGACGAATATAATCAAACATGACGATGACTATGTCTTACCCCCCAATGATTATGATAACATTAATTACGGTAGTCTGAATGAATATACACAGATAATTTAGGAATGTAATTGAAGACTGCAGTCCACTGATGAAGACCAATAATGGTAATTGACTAAGCGTGAAGATAAAAAATGATTTCGAGTTCACAGTTTGGCTGACCTGATAATATTGTGCTGAGAACGGTGTGCCCCTCACACTGACATTTAATGACTAAGAGAGGATTAAACGTGTCACTGCTTTGTCGACTAGACTAAAAGTAGGACTACATTAAATCCACACTCAATACTGGACTAAATTTGCAAAGGCTGTTGTGAATTAGACTGACATGAGAAAAAAACTAAAGGCTGACTCAATAACTCTATGAATTAACCACCATCTTGGCCAAGAATCCCCAACTTTGAAATACTGTATTGTGAAATCTAGAATTTTAATATACAGTGAGCAAGTACTGATGGTCAGCAGTCCACTTCCCATTGAAAACGGTGGTATTTGAAATAACACATTTTCATTGTATTATCATGTGTAAATGCTCATCAATAACTTAGGATTTATTGCACCACATTGAGTTACAGTTAAAATAAAGCATTATCCTTTCGTGCTTGTCGTAAAACAGTCACGGATACTCTGTATGTTAGTTTTTCAGATCCTTAACAATAACAAAAAAATAATTCTCAGCAGTATCCATTTTTTATTCTTATCCCGATATACATCTGCAACAATTTCCCCAAGACAGCCGGCACTTCCTTAGAACATTTTATTTCCTTGGTCACATGCTTCCCTATTTGAAATTCGACTGGTGGGAGAGCCACACTAAGAAACCTTACTTTGTCGTTTTTTCTGCTTGTTCAGTTTCGCCTGCACAGAGTTGTAAAAGAAACGTGCTTCCTCTACGTCAGCGAAGTTTAGTCCAACTTGGCATTTCTGACAAGGAAAAAACACCAAAAGGCATATTTTATTCCCAGTACAGAGTTTCACGAAATTAACTCACGATTTTTTTTTTCAATGCATATACACACAGCGTGCAACAATAAACACTTACATCTCCAATGAATGTGTGAAAGTCTGCCTTTGGTGCATAATATGCAAACTCTGTGTATAGTTCTTGTTCCCACAGCTTGCAGTTTTCCTGCAAAACAAAATAACAACACAAAGAAGTCCTTCTTAACATTGAAAGTACATTCATCAACAACATTGCCTGGACGGGGAAAAATATATAATAGCATCGGTGAAATTTAGGACACTGACCCTTTTTTTATTTGTGCTTGTGCACCACTGTCAATGCACTCACACTACTTTTTTTCTATCTTGTGCAAACTGTTCAGGGGTGTGCATTGTGACATGACCAGCCCCACACATGTCCACCTTACAGTGTCATCACAGTGGTTACCTGGCCATTCCTCTATCGCATACAACACTAAGTGTTGTGGGCGCCGCGGTGGCAAGATGTTAACTACTTCGCCTGGTATACAGGAGGTCGTGGGTTCGATCCCCGACCCTTACGCCTGCTGTATATTTGGAGATTGCATGTTCTTCCGTAGTCGGGTGTCATTTTCTCTGGGTCCTCCAGTTTTTCCCTCCACATTTAGAATCAACATTCGTTTAGAGAATTTGGCTGCTTTAAATTACCACTCGATAAGCCACTTCGTTGAGCTTTCATTTGTCGCCGGATCTGCTTTTGAAAAAGAGCTATATAGTTCAGTGGGGCTTACCTGGTAAAAACAAAAAAAACAATCGTCGTAGTAAATAGTATATATATGGAGTACAGTATCACAACATTCATTTTCTACATTTTATGTGTGGCTCAAATTAAAAGGCAAAGCTGCATAAACAAAACCAGAACAAGTTAACATCAGAGGGATGATGTTGCAAAACCTTGACTCACTTTGTACACGAATCTCCTTTCTTAGAGCAACTTAACCTTTTGCTTGAATACACAAGACTTGCGGAATGTTTCTCAGCCCATATTCACCGCCTGGGATAACATAATAAAGACCGCCACTTCTAGAATCCATGACTTGGTATTAAAATACAAACAAAACTATGGGACAGGCTAATTAACAACAACGCGGCTTGAAATATGTACTCGTTCGATTGGGATTGCTAGACTGAAAACAGCCACCCTAATTGTTATAATAGCAAGTTTACAACGTCTTACAGTGCTCGTTGTCCAGCAGGCTGGTATCACTGCTGGATATCATCGTCGACAAGGCTAGGTTTTTGACGTACCATACAGATGTCGTAAATGGTGATGAAAAAGCTGCGCTTGCTGTTGTCCTTCACAAAACAGACCACTCCGCAGCATTGCTTGTCCCACCTTCCATTCACGCCATAGAGGAGCTGCACCACGGTACTGGCGAGGGTCTGCAAGCCAACATGAGCATTAATTCACAGGGTCATAGACATGGGGTCAGGGTTTCTCACAACACATTACTGAATGGGCAGCAACACAGAGTTAACCCACGTCAGAACGGACTGAATGAAATTCTGTACATTCGTGAAAAACAGTAATACCCCAGTTTAACACGTAGGCTTTTGCGACCAGTTTTATTTATAATAATGTTTTTTGTGTTAGATCGCGTTATTATAAATGTGCTGCAACCCTCCACCGCCCGACACAGCCAATTATTTAAAAAAATTAACCCGTAAAAACAAAGTTTTTCACTATAAATCCTTTATATGCGTGGCGGCTAGAGTCCTCTCGTCCTCTGGCTTGAGATGGCTGCCACCTATGGGTCAGATGATTGTCTGCCACAATTAAGCAATTGGTAATTAAATATTTAAAAAAAATTCCCTAAACAGTGTAAAATTTTGGAAAAAAAATTTCTCAAAAATTAATTGTCACACACAACGAGTCTGTGTGGAAAATGTCAGCTCGATTGGATCACGGGAAGTGTGTTAAAAAACGACCGAAAGATTTGCACGGTCGTAAGCAAGCAAGCAAGCACACAAGCACGCAAGCAAGCAAGCAAACTTAATATAAAGGATTTAAAAATGTGTCACGTTAACAAAACGACTAATTGCTTACTTCTTCAGCCCACGGTGTATTTGAAGAGTGAATCCACAACATTTTAAATTTGAGTAGACGTGTCGCTGGTGATTACATCCAGCATCTTCGGGCGATTTGCCAGTTTACTTGGTGTTTTGTGAACGTGACACTTTTTTTACTGATCGGCCGTGTCGGGTGGTGGATGGTTGCGACACATTTATAATAACCCAAAAACCTTTATTATGAGTAATACCCCATCTTCTTGGTTCTTTCGGTAAAGTCACGTAGAAGGGAAGTAATAAAATAATAAAAATTAAACATAATAATTTTATTTTATTTTGTTTTAGTTAAATTAAACATAATAATTTTATTTTATTTTGTTTTAGTTACATTTTTATTATTTTATTATTTTCCCTCTATGTGACTTTACCGAAAGAACCAAGAAGATGAATCCCTGCAGTCACGAAAGCTTTAAATCGAAGTAATACCCCAGTTTACGTCGGGGATGTGTTCCTGAAGGTGTGACAAATATCGACATGACGTAAATCAAAGCATTTTGTGTCCACCAAATCACCAGAATACTGTACACACGTAACATATTGTACTCTACGGTACATTTCTTTACGCGTGACACAAAGTAGTTCGCGTACAGGGTAAGTGGAGGCGAAGGCTGAGGAGACGGATACGACAAAGGACCGATGATGCTGTCAGCGACGTGTGGGTAGAACTGATGCAAATCAGGTCGCGGTACAAATACAATAAAGTGATGACGTATTTGTGAAACGACGTCAAAGGGGGAGACGTGAAATCAACCCTTCAATCTACCGCTGCATTAAGGCCTTGCCATGCAATATCAGTAATGTGAGTTGTTTGACGATATCTCATCATCATGGGACCTCCTTTGCCAGTACCAAAATATACTAATAGAGTTTTTGCCCTTTTTTTGGCGTCTTCTGGTCGAACACCATATGAGACGAGGCTCTAAAGAAAGCTGTCTCTGGTGTGTACCAATCAGTTTCAAAGACAATGCATAAATGATCAGAGTATTGTTTTTGTTTGCATTTGACTGCAAGTATTGTGGCTAATGTAAGCATGATTCCTTGCAAAAGGTGTCAGTTTTGTTGCCAGAAAAAAGGGGAAAACCCCTATTAGCATGTTTGACGATACTTCGGCATGTTGGCCAGTGCGTGTTGGTGAAGGCAAGTTCCCAGGTCCAGTGTAGCTATTACTTGTCACGGATGTTCGCCCTGGCCGGAAAGATAAATCAGGCAATTGGGTGCATAGTCCAGGATGCTAACCACTGCTTCACTCCTTATTCTCATGTCCTACTATGGCTCACATGGTTATGACATTTGAAAGGAACGAACGAGCTCAAACTTATGTAAAAGGATCCAAGTTCGAAAACGCGTGTATGTTAAATAAGTATATTTTTGATGGCTCATAATAGACAAGACATCCGCACCTACTTGACGATGTAGTAGTGCACCCTTTACAGCTTTGATTAACTCCCCCCCTCCACCCCCCCAAAAAAACCTAAACACATCAAAGGGGTTTGTGTTATTTCAAACAAACGACTGCACAGTACTCCAAAGTCGTTCTGGGTTAATTCCAAATTGACGAGCTGTGAAATCAGGAATTGCACGCGTAAAAAAAATAAACACAATGGGAATTAATTTTACAACAATGAAAAGAGTTTAACATTCTATGCGCTGTGCCGATGTGAACCTCGCTGGGAATGAAAGCCTGGGACTTATTGAGATGCACAGTATCCTGCCAAAACTTTGCTTTCTTAAAAAACACACGACCCACTGTGAGGAGTATTGTGATGTGCTGAAATACACGTGCTGGCTGTAGTTCAGTTGCCATCTCAGGTCTTTGATGCAAATTTTACAAAAAGAGCTGCACCTGGCAAGGTATTTTACAGGCGATTGTGTTTTCTTCTTTTCATTCGCGTCTCACAACCTAAGGTCACAAGAAAAAAGGAAACAATCCGCCAGTTGCCTCGCACACATATGCCCCCTGACGAGAACGCGTCGTGAATGTCAATGATTCGGGGTCTTTAGCAGGTCAGGAAATAGTTTATGTGGAGCTTCGTAAAACGTCCATAACATCAATGAATGGTTTTATTGAGGACTCGGAAAGATTATTAAAATGAAGTGCTGTATAAGTAATGTTAAAGCGTGTATAACCTATCTTACAATGATTGCAAATGCCTATTTTGAAATCTGTATTTATCTTTCATGTTATGCGAAAAATGTTTATGCTAATCATTATGTAGTGTCTTCTTGGTTCTTTCGGTAAAGTCACGTATAATGGAAATAATTCTCACGACGTTTCGGCCACAACGCAAGCAGCCGTCCTCAGGTGGAGAACAGGTCTGTCGAGGAGACAAGAGTCTGGAGAACAGGTCCGTCTCCTCGACAGACCTGTTCTCCACCTGAGGACGGCTACTTGCGTTGTGGCCGAAACGTCGTGAGAATTATTTTATTGTTTTATTTTTATTATTTTATTATTTCCATTCTCCGTGACTTTACTGAAGGAACCAAGAAGATGAATCCCTGCAGTCACGAAAGCTTTAAATCATTATGTAGTGGGTTCGATTGAGGCACACACTCAACTTGGAGGCAACACTATTTATTAAACGCATAACAACCAACTGGAATTTTTCGATTTAAAGCTTTCGTGACTGCAGGGATTCATCTTCTTGGTTCTTTCGGTAAAGTCACGTGACTTTACCGAAAGAACCAAGAACCAACTGGAACATCATACACAGGGTGGTGACCTCCGTTCCTAATCTCACTAACACTCGGGGAATACTACACAGCGTGACCAGGGCAGGTGACGGGCTGCCTGGTCACGGACGAAAGTCAGAGCCTTCCAAGACCGCTGATGGCATCTTCATCCCTGGGGTGAACAGCGCAACTCTCTGCTCATAACTCCCGTGGCGTGGCCGGCTCCGACCCAGGCCACGCCCCCCTTCTCGATCCTTCGGGAAGGTCCGGGCCCCCAACCACGTGACCCCCAAGCTCTTCCCTGGGGCCCCTAGCCCCCCCCTTTGTCCGGTCACGTGTCCTGTTGGGTTCACGCAGAGTGTCACGGCCTGACATGACCTCCGTGACACCCGTCTACGGCACCCAGACCGAGACAACACAGTCGTGACGTCATGTGTCCCTACGCTCGTACAGTCCCGACACAGTAGTGATGTCATGTGTCACTACAATTATATTCTAGATTTGAAGCTTTCGTGACTGCAAGGATTCATACTCTTAGTTTTTTTCGGTGAAGTCACGTAGTTACAAATAAATAATAATAATAATAAATAATAGAAATAATAATATACATAAAATAAAATTACTTTATTAATAAATAATAATAGAAATAAAATAAAATTATTTTATTTCTATTATTATTTATATTATTTGTATTACTTATTTTTAACTACGTGACTTTACCGAAACAAACCTAAGCGTACTACAATTATATATTTGGTACACTCTCCTGACAGCATTTTTCAGGTACAGCACAGTATTGTATATGGTTTATATGAATGACAAGGTATTGAAATCATGCATTTTCATGGATTGACTAATGCACTCCAACATGCATTCGTAATATTTCGTTCCAATCCGCACGAGTTGACGTTACAAGGGTGCGAGACAATGTCACATGTAATGGTGTAATGAGGCAAAGTATTGCATGGCGTGTGATGTAATCGCCTTATCCGTTTTAGCGCCGTTTTTATAGGCACGTTTTGGCAATCCTTTAAAAAATATTATCCAGTTGTCCTAAAGGAATTCCCTAATAGGCACACGACTTTATACAACATTATTACTTATATTCTTGGTTCTTTCGGTAAAGTCACGTAGAATGGAAATAATAAAATAATAAAAATATAAAACAATAAAATTATCACGATGTTTCGATTGCAACACAAGCAATCATCATCAGGTGTGAAAACTACGGCAAGAAAATATGAAAAAAGTGGCGTTTTTTTTTTCTTAACGTTTCTTGATGTGGGTTTCACACCTGATGACGATTGCTTGTGTTGCAATCGAAATGTCGTGATAATTGTATTGTTTTATATTTTTATTATTTTATTGTTTCCCTTCTACGTGACTTTACCGAAAGAACCAAGAATATGAATCCCTGCAGTCACGAAAGCTTTAAATCAACAATTTTCACTTATATTTATCTTTCCAAAAGTTATAATTGCGCCATGTTACAAACAAGAGACAGATAAATCGTGGATTGATATAATCACTCCCTTCTGTGTGGGATTGAGTGTTGTCCCCTTGCATGCGTGGGCTTTTTTTCCCGGTCCCTCTGTTTCCTCCCCACGTGTATAAAACATTCAATATAATTGGTTTAAAACATC